GTTGGATGAAATGTTCTGTAGACATCAAGTAGTCCATTTGATCTATGTATATTTTAGATCTAGGATTTCTTTATTGATTTTTTGTTTGGATGACCTATCTATTGATGATAATGGGGTGTTAAAGTCTCCCACGACCACTGTGTTGGAGTTAATATATACTTTTAGGTCCTTCAGGGTATGTTTGATGAAATTGGGTGCATTGACATTGGGTGCATACAGGTTGATAATTGTTATTTCCTTTTGTTCTATTTCACCTTTTGTTAGTATGGAATATCCTTCTTATCTCATTTAATCAATGTAGGTTTGAAGTCTACTTTGTCAGAGATAAGTATTGCTCCTCCTGCCTGTTTTCGGGGGCCATTGGCTTTGTAAATCTTCTTCCAGCCTTTCATCCTAAGCCTATGCTTATTTCTGTTGGTGAGATGGGTCTCCTGTAAGCAACAAATTGTTGGATCTTCCTTTTTAATACAATTAGTCAAATGGTGCCTTTTGATGGGTGAATTAAGTCCATTAACATTAAGTGTTAGTACTGACAGTATGTGGTGATTCCTGTCATTTAGTTTTCTTAGTTGTGTGAGGGTTTGATTGTGTATAGCTAAATCAATGTTACTCTCTACTTTCTTGCTTTTTCTCTTCCTGTAGTTTGGTGCTGCCTGCCCTATCATGGTTATGTTGGGTTTCACTTTCTGTGTGCAGAATCCCTTGAAGAATCTTTTGTAATGGTGGCTTTGTGGTCACATATTGTTTTAGTTTCTGCTTATCATGGAAGACTTTTATTGCTCCATCTATTTTGAATGATAGTTTTGCTGGGTAGAGTATCCTAGGGTTGAAGTTATTTTCATTCAGTGTCTGAAAGATCTCACCCCAAGCTGTTCTTGCTTTTAATGTTTCTGTTGAGAAGTCTGCTGTGATTTTGATGGGTTTACCTTTGTATGTTATTTGTTTTTTCTCTCTTACAGCCTTCAATATTCTTTCTCGGGTCTCTGTATTTGTTGTTTTAATGATAATATGCTGTAGGCTAGATCTATTTTGGTCTGGTCTGTTTGGTGTTCTGGAGGCCTCTTGCATCTATATGGGAATACATTTCTCTAGATTTGGGTAATTTTCTGTAATTATTTTGTTGAATATATTATGCATTCCCTTTGCTTGTACCTCTTCTCCTTCTTCAGTGCCCATGATTCCCAGGTTTGGTCTTTTGATGGATTCAGTGAGTTCTTGCATTTTCTTTTCACAGGTCTTGTGTTGTTTAACTAATAGTTCTTTGGTTTTTCCTTTAATTACCATATTCATCTTTGAGTTCTGAGATTCTTTCTTCTGCTTGTTCTATTCTGCTGGATTGGCCTTCCATTTTGTTTTGCATTTCTGTTTCATTCTTTTTTTCTGAGGTTTTCCCTATCCTGATTCTGTTCCTCTCAATGTTGTCTATTTTTGTCCTGAGTTCATATATCTCTTTATTAATCGTGTTCTTTGTTTCACTTTGGTGTTTATACAGTGCCTCTATGGTTTCTTTTATTTCTTCTTTGCTTTCTCAAATTCTCTATTTTTGTGTCTTGGAATTTCTTAAGTGTCTCCTGTACATTTTGGTTGACCCTATCCAGTATTATCTCTATAAAATTCTCATTGATTACTTGGAGGATTTCATCTTTCAGATTATTCTTGTGGGGTTCATTGGGTCCTTTGGCATAGTTTATCTTCATTTTGTTGGAGTCTGGATCTGAGTATCTGTTTTCTTCATTTCTCTCTGGTTCCTGTACTAATTTCTTCCTGTGGGGAAATTGGTTTCCCTGTTTTTTCTGTCTTCCCATCATTGCCCTTGGTATTGTTACTGTCCCTGTACTGTGTGCAAGTAAGTATTTTCTAGGTTATAATAACGACAATGGTGATATTTAGAATGGAAGGGTGAGAGGAGAGGGAAAGCAAAGAAGGTAAAGAAAAAGGGAAAAACAAATAAACAAGTAAAAACAAACACACAAACAAAAAACAGTGTCAAAGATATAAACAGGGAGAGATAGTGTACTAATTAACAGTAAGCTAAACTGGCATTAGAGAGACAGAGAGAGGATAAAAAAAAGAATCTCCAAGTTCAAATGCAATAAAGTGTCAGTCCTGATAATTTTGGTGTTAGTCCCTCAGACTCTAATCCTGGAGATGGTGTCTCAGAAGTAGTTCTGTCATTGTCTCATCCAAGGGTGGAGGGAGCGGGGAAAGCACAACAAAGTATCCCAAGTTCAAATGTAATACAGTTTCAGTAAGTTTTTCAGCATGCAGTTGTAGTTCGGTTGTTTTCTCATCAAAGGAAGAGAAAAAAAAAAGAGACTGGAGACAGCTTTGTGAATGTCTATCTGAGGCTGCGGCTCATCTGCACACTGCTGTCAGCCTGCTGTTGCTGCAGGCTTTATTGATTGCAGATCTCAGGATTGAGTTTAACACTCACCTAGCCTCTCAGGCTTTGTTTCCTTAGAGTTCTCCTGGGCGCAACCGCCACTGCTACAAACATTCCCCTTTCCAAGCACACTGGGGGAGGTGGCGCTACACCCACCTTCTCTGGCCAGCTTGTTTATTTACAGTTCAAATGTGAGTTGTCCCTTCCTCCCTCTCCAGTGGAGTTTTCCTCACACTGCCGGTTTTACAAGCTTTCCCATTCCTGTTTTCTGGGCATGTGCCACTCCTGCCTCCTCCGGCTGGCTTGTTTATTTACAGTTCCATGAGTGATTGCCCCTCCCCCCACTTTGGTGCTCAGGACACCCCGCCCTCCTTGCTACGTGTCCTTTTTATTGTTGTTGTTCATTATTCAGTTTGTTTTTTTTTTCTCTTTTTCCCTGGGTTGGGGTCTGTCTGTTCAGGGAGCTATGCTGATCTGGCCCAGGGTTGTCTGTGAGAGTACTGCGTGCCGCTTAGCTCACCTGGTGGTCTGCGTCTTCCCAAGCGGTCTTGGAGCTGGCATCTGGCGGCACGGGAGCCTCCTGATTTCTCCGTTTACCGTGGAGTGTGGATGCTGTGCTTGGGCTGGGGGTGTGGAGGAGTCAGGGTTTTGCCTCTTCTTGGTGGTTTTTTCTGTAAGGTGTATCACCAGCGTCTCTCCATGATTTTATTTTAGGAAGCACACTTTCTGCTTCCTCCTCTAGTTGCCTTCTTGGAATCCTCTGTGTCCCCCAATGACTTTCATCACAGAGATTAAAAATATCTACCCTAAAGTTCATTTGGAAACACAGGAGATCGCAAATAGCCAAGGTAATACTCAGCAAAAAGAGCAATGCTGGAGGTATCACAATACCGGACTTCAAACTATATTACAAAGCAGTAGCAATAAAAACAGCATGGTACTGGCACAAAAACAGACATGAAGACCGGTGGAACAGAATAGAGGACCTGGATATGAATCCACACAGCTATACCCACCTCATTTTTGACAAAAGTGTCAAAAATATACGATGGAGAAAAGACAACCTCTTCAGCAAATGTTATTGGGAAAAGTGGTTACCTGTCAGCAAGAAACTGAAATTAGATCCATGTCTATCACCTTGTACTAGTATCAACTCAAAATGGATCAAGAACCTTAATATCAGACCCGAAACTCTGAAGTTAGTACAGGTAGGAGCAGGAAACACTCTGAAACTAATAGGTATAGGCAAAGACTTCCTCTATAGAACCCAGCAGTCCAGCAACTAAGAGAAAGGATGAATAAATGGGACTTCATAAAATTAAAAAGCTTCTGCACAACAAAAGAAATCGTCTCTAAACTGAAGAGACCCCCCCACAGAGCAGGAGAAAATATTTGCCAGCTATATATCAGACAAAGGACTGATAACCAGAACATATAGGGAACTTAAGAAACTGAACTCTCCTAAAATCAATGAACCAATTAAGAAATGGGCAACTAAACTAAACAGAACTTTCTCAAAAGAAGAAATTCAAATGGCCAAAAAACACATAAAAAAATGCTCACCATCTCTAGCCATAAAGGAAATGCAAATCAAAACCACACTAAGATTCTACCTCACCCCTGTTAGAATAGCCATCATCAAAAACACCACCAACAACATGTGTTGGTGAGGATGTGGGGAAAAAGAAACTCTAATCCACTGCTGGTGGGAATGCAAGCTGGTGTAACAACTCTGAAAAAAAATTTGGAGGTTTCTTAAAAATCTAAACATAGATCTGCCGTATGATCCAACAATCCCACTCCTGAGATCCACTCGAAGGAATGCAACACAGGTTACTCCAGAGGTACCTTCACACTTTATTGCAGTGCTATTCACAATAGCCAAGTTATGGAAACAACTAAGATGCCCCACTACTGATGAATGGATTGAGAAAATATGGTATTTATACACAATGGAATTTTACTCAGTCATGAAGAACAATGAAATTCTTATCTTTCTCAAGTAACTGGGTATCATTCTGAGTGAGGTTAGCCAAGCTCAGAAGACCAAAAATCGTATGTTTTCCCTCATATTCGGACTTTAGATCTAGGGCAAATACAGCAATGTGGTTGGACTTGGGTCACATGAGAAGGGGGAGCACATACAGGAGATATGGGAATAGATGAAAACCCAAAACATGAAAGCATTTGATGTCCCCACTCCAGAGGAACTAATACAGAAAATTAGAAAGGACTGGGCATTAGTGGTCTTGGTGAAATTAAAGAGGAACTAGTATGGGTTGTGATGGTATAAAATAGCTGGAGAGTAGTATGCTGTGGTCAGAGCATTGCATTTTTGAAATCTAGATGGAACATAACTAGATGATGTCAAGGTCTGGAGTATGCCTATGACCTTGGGTTGCTTAATTACAGTGGAGAGACAGACTTTGTTTTGCAAAGAGTCTGTCTGGGTTATTAGATAAGACACTCAACATGGACTGAAATTATCTACACTGATGGGATGTCTTGAGGTCAAATGTAATAATGGATCCAAGTGCTAAATCTTCAGTGTCTAAAAGTCCATTATTTGGGACAAAACATGGTCAAAGAATGGTGACATGTGCTGAAGCATTATGGAATGAGCTCCCAAGGAGCAGGAACTGCTGCCCAAGGGCTGAGCGGAAATGAACTGGGTGTGTGTTGGGAAACTAGGAGAAGCCAGTTCTACATCCGGCCTAGTAGTTACAAATGCACAGCTGTAAAAGAAGCAGTGAGCTTGGGCTTATGTTCTGTAAATAGTGTGTGGATATGTTTGGAAATGTGTAATTATGGACATAGGTTCCAGGCAGGATCAGTGGACAAACTTGGGGAGGACAGAGAGTTCTGAAAGGTGAAATGAATATAGAGCAGGGTGTGCCTAAATGTGATAGGTTGGAGTACTGAACTTCTGACTTTTGTGCTGAAAGAATCTTCCATTATAGCTAACTTTGCATACAACCCTGTTGTGTGATGCCTGCCAGAGTGAGTATTTGTTAACTGTACTCCAGATAACCAAATGAGTCCATCTCCTGAATCAAGTTATTTACCATTAGCCATGTGAATGTGGAAGGGTGTTTGCCAAACATAGTGATTGTGGTTTTGGCACAAGAAGTCCTTTCTGACAGTATTGTTGGCCAGTACATTTAGCTGCTTGTTGAAGCCACTCCTGGAACAGGAGAGCAGTGCCATGTCATCACAAAGGGAAGGAAATGCATGGTGCTCTTGTCCAAGGGCCTGTTTCCAAGTCATGCAAAACATGCATCACAGTGTCCAGGTTTGCTCATGATCTCAGGGCTGGCATACAGCCCCATTTAAAGCTGTTTAAGGTGATACAGAAATGTTTTATTCAAAGTGTTACCCATCAGTTTTGAAGAGGGTATCAACTCTTCTTTTCTCCAGGACAATGTGAAAGCTGCTTCCTTCCTGCCCTCTCCAATATTCTTATTTTCAAGGTTCCTTAAACTGCAGTTTACCAGAGTTTAGGGTGGAGAAATTTCCTCTGTGGTGCCACCCAATTTTTGATTTCAGAAATGAAATTAGATTAGATTACAGTATGCCAAAAATTCTCACTGAGGAGTGCAGTGGTTGAAGAAGAGAAGCTCTGAAGAGTTTCGGTTCTCTCCACAGTGGTACTGGTTTTACCTTTAACTGATTGAGGAACAAACAGAAGAGGAAGTTCTATACTGAAAGTGTTTTTGTTAGCACTGTATGAACACACATTGTTTTGTAGACTGAAATTTGTAAGGAAAAGTTCCCTCTCTGGAATGAACTGAGCATAATGTTGATAGGAAAAGTAGATAATTATTTAGATAGTCTTCCTGCCCTTTGAGTCTTGGGAGATAGAACACTGTCTCTGGAAGTACTCCAACGTGCCTGCAGCTGTTAGTGCTCTCTCTAGTTCTCAGTAATGGATGCAGTTACGTAAGGTGTGATTTAACTAACCATCAGATCATGTATTGATCATGTTACTTTTCAATAGGTGTTGCTTAATATTTGCCTTTGAATTTGTTCTGAAAATGACATTTTCTCATGAGTGTATATTTAAGTCTTGAGGCTGCATTTTTATAGTGATTTGTGTAAATGGAACTCTCCTCGTCCTTTGGGGACTCTAATAAACAACTCATTCTTCTTTTCATGGCCCATAGTATCACTAAACATCATTGACAAAATAATAACCATGCAATATTAGAGTGTCTTTTCTATTTTCTATTTATGTCTTTATTTGAAACCATAATTAAATAATGTCAAACTTGCAACTATAACAAAATAGTATCTGCTGTTTGGATATAATACAGGCCAAATTCTATAAACTTTAATTAGGCTAAGCTTGCACTGACCTCAGTAGGAATCTGGCTGAAGCTCTGTTTTAATTACCTCTGCCTTAAAATATGTAAGAATTTTCCCATTGCTTTTCTCACTCAAGGAACAATAAATGGGTAACTAAACTAATAAAATGTTTAAATAGATACAAATCAGACTTGAAAGGCTAAACTGTTGTTTTCATCCTGTAAATCAGCTAAGAAAAAGCATACAGATTGTAGTTCTAAATTATGTCCATAGAGTATTTCAAATCCAGTGAATTAACTCTCCTTTTCTCCCACTTGAGCTCATAAATGTTAACCTTAGCAGTGCCTCAAATTTGCCCACTGAAATAAACTTGAACTGACAATAGCCAGATGATGTAAAATTGAAACTGAAATTCTATCCTTGGCCCATCCCATGTTCTTCCCCATAGGTATTAAAGGAATCATAGGAGTGTTAGTGTTTTCATTCTATGTATGCTGCAATATTTGGGCAAAACAGGGCATATAAATTTCTTGCTGCCAGGAGAAAGCAATTACCAGTGTGGAGAAGATAGAGGGCAATAAATAAACAGAACTATGCTAGATATGAGTGAATTTAAAGATTTATTTAGAATGCCTTAGCTTATAGAAAACAGGCCCCTGTATTTATCATATGCTTTCACTCAAAATTCATATGGGAACCATAGTCTTTTCTTAATAAAACGGCAAATTGTGTCACCAAGCCATTTTTGTTCATGATTTTAAAATAAATAGAGATATGCTATATAGTATCATGCAACTAAAAGCAAAAAAGAAACTAGTCACATGGCAAAATAGATAGCACTTTGAAAATGAAGTATACCTGTATCAACATGGTGATTCTCTACTGTGTCTAGGTGGGAGCTTTGTTTGCTCTTTGAACTAAGTGTTGTCCCTCTCTTGCTGGTGAGAAAAAGGAGCTCACCCAGGGCTCAGAAGCTCCATTGTCCATGAAAACCATATCTGTCTAATTGCAAAGGTGGCTAAGCTCTTAACTTCTGTAACATGACTCTTCTCCCACGATGAGCCCTTTGAAATCTCGATAGATAGATAGGTATAAATGTTTATAAACAAACACACACATATATCTTAAAAACAACAACTATGGAGTCATTGATATATATGGTTCTGGGAAAGATGAAGTTTTTCTTACTAAGTAATCGTGTCTAAGCCTAACTCCAGCCTCTGTACTTAGAACATGAAGGGTTAGATAGGAACTTAGCTTATAGTTGGTTTAAATCTGTAGCATCTTTCAAGATGAAATAACTTCCTCATACCACATCTGACAGTGAACCTACTCTGGAACTCAGATGGAGAATGAAGAAGTGGGGCTCTAAGTTGTGGTTTATGTGAGATTATCAAGTATTTGATACCATTATAGAGTTCAAGTATAGTGTATCAGAATCTATTGGATCAAATTATTTCGGGAGAAATTTCCTAAATATTGTTTAGTCAGAGACACCTTTTTAAAGACAGTAGCAATACTTTAAGGAGTCATAGCATTGAATCCCGAATGGAAAGAAACAATTTTACTTTAAAAGGGGAATGAAAATAAGAAAATAAAATAAAAATCTGATGAAAATTGAGACCTTGTTTAAAAGGGGGAAGAAATAGAGGGGGTAAACTTGATCAAAGTGTATTATATGCATGTATGGAAACATCACGGTGAAACGGTTTTGTTTAATATATACTAATCAAAAAGAGAAAAAAAGAAAATTGAGCTCGGATTATACATGTAAGGTATATGTAATGAACTTTGTATTTTTTAAGGAAGAAGTTTTTAAAATACAAAATATGAAAAGTAATATATAAAAGATACATCCATATAACCTAGAATTGAAAATAATATATGTATTATATTAATAATTAAAATTTTACATTTTTGTTTGACTCCTTTTCAATTGAAAGAAATAATATAATATTGATAAGCTAGATCCTCCATGTCACCACCACTCGCACTGTTCACCTCCTCCAAGATGCTAGCAAATTTCCCTTTTCAGTTTGTTTTCGTACATTTTCATAATATATGCCTATAAACTACATGTAGTTCTGTTTTTATGTGCACTTTTAAACTTAATTAAATGGTATCACTCTTTACAGTGTTTTTGTTTGAAGTATACTCCTTTATTCAAAACCATTTGATTTTTGTTCATATTAAGATACTATTTCCAACTCATTCCTTTTATCTGCTGAATGGCATTTTATCTGTTCAGTGTTCTATTTATGACAGGGTATCCTCCTCCTGTGGTGCACATCTCAAACTGTGACTCTTTGGAGACATGGTGAATGGTCTCTAGGGAATTGAGCTGAAGGGGAAGTGCTAGGTTGTAGGAAAGGCTTTTTTCCATTTTACTACATTCTGCCAAACCAGCTGTGGATAAGAGATGTTATGTCTTTAAAGTCTGATATCATTATGAAACTCTTTTTTTGAAAACCTTTTAGTTTTTAAATTTTGTTTCTATTAACCAGGGGTTGGCAAGATGTTGCTTGTGGGCCAAGTTCAGCCTGTTGCCTGTTTCTATAAAGTTTTATGAGAACAGAGCCTTTCCCATTTATTTATATGTGGTCTGCAGTGCTTTTGAGCTAAAATGTCAGTGGTGAGTAGTTGTGACAGATATCTTATGACTCAAAAAGCCCCCAGTAGTTACTCTCTGACCCTTCATAGAAATATTTGCAAATCTCTATAATAATAGTATTACATGTTACCACTATTTAATTCTCTTTTGTCTTGCTATTTAAGTTATCTAATATTGAATCAAATAAACAAGCTGATTTCAGGTGACAGAAACCATCGAAAATGTGAAGTGAGTGGGATGGGTGGTGATATTAGGTAGGGTGGTAAAGAGAATTTAGAATCTACCTCGTGAGCTAAGACCCTGGAGGTAAGGAAACCAAAGCTCAAGAACTAAGCAATTTGTACAGAATCATACAGGTAGTAAGTAGAAAAGGTTGGATTTCATCTTAGGGATAACTCCAAATATAGGGCTCTTTAACTCTCCAATACAGCTGTCTTCTTAAATTCATGTAAACACAATGTAAAACAGAGATGTAAGTATTGTATTAGAAGCATAAGCAAAGTGGTTTAGCTCTCCTGGACTTGGCAGTCCACACTGGGGTTGTGATGTGTTGAAATTTGGAGTCAGTGCTGATGACTGGGTTTGAATCATAGTTCCAGTATTAACCTTGGCTAAATCACTTGAATTTTCAGCCTTCATTGTGTTTTGGTGGGCGGGGATGGGAGGGAGCTCATCTGTAAAGTGAGGAGAGTGTTTGGATGATCTCCATGGGCTCTTCTGGCTCTCACTTTCTATGATGCTGTGACTTTAGGAGGTGGCATTTGATCTGGGCTTTGGAGGGTGGGGTGATTTTGACAGGCTGCCTTGTAAATGAGAGGGAAAGGTATTCCAGGTGGTGAAAACAGTTTGAGCATAAACACAGTGGCTAGTAACTGCAGAAGGAATTCCAGGAATGGTGTGTAATGGTCTGGTCTGACAAGGCTAACGTTTGATCCTGCAGAATACAGGACAGTCAAGCAGGATCTGGCACTGAGTTGAGAGAAGGCCTTACAGTTATGCTTAGGAGCTGGAAATTCTTTCCCTGGAAAGAGTTGCAGAATTCGAAAAGTCCTCAGTAATATCATTGTCCCATGACTGGCCCCTCCCTGTGTCATAGTTCCAGTGATGGAGACTTCTCTAGGTCATCTATTCCACTTTCAAGCATCCTTAAGTGTGAGAAAATTCTTCTGTACATTGAGTCAAACCTTACATGTTCTATTTATAACTTTTCCAGGGTGTAGATAATGGGAGATTATAAATGGTAGAATAACATGCTCAGGGATTTGTACCCCAGCAGCCTGAAACAGATTTGTAGCAGCACACATATAATATGTCCTTCCATAAAGGAATTGAACTTTAAAAAAAACATTCCAGTCATGAAATGTGTATTGGGTACTCATGACATGTCAAACTCACCGAGAACACAGTGCTAGGAAAGAGTTCCTGCTCATGGAGTAGAAGAATCAGTAGACTTGTGACAACGACTTAGTAGTTCAGGTGAGAAATGCTTAGCTTGCAGATGGATGGTGAGAGGTCATGGAGCAGGGGACAGGTATGGATTCCTAGAAGTGAGGAGTTGGTCAGATTGAGGCAGAAGAAAGAACAGGCCTGGGAGGAGAGCTGGAAGATAGAAACATGAGTAAAGGTGGCCTGTTTGATGACCTGAAATCTCTTATATGGCTAGAACATGGAATGTGAGAAGTGGCTAGAAATGAGATTGGTGTAGTAGATAAGGATTAGTCATGAGGGGCTATTTGCCTGTGAAGGATTTTGGATTATATTCTGAATTTGATAAGAAACTGGTATTCTTAAAAATGGTCACTCTCCCCCTCAAGTGTATTGAATATGTGTGTATACATTTTTAAAGTATCAATCAGAAATAACCACTGCTAAAATATTTTAGTATATATCTGTGTTTTATGTATCAGTACATAAGAAAATTATGATTTTATTGCAAAATACATTCTTACCCCGCTTTTCTCTAGTGTGATACTATATGCCAGTATATAATCCCATGCTATTAAGAGCTCTTTGAGAACTTAACTTCCAATGATTATGCATAATGACTTCAAATATGACTATATTTTATATTTAAATGTCTCATAATGGGTTACATTTTAAGTTGCTTGCATTTTTTTCCTATGACAAATAATGTGATAAACAGTTATTAGTAAACCTATGTTCACATCCGACGTTTTCCTTGGGGTAGATCTAGCCATGTGAGTGGTCTGATGGCATAGGTCTAGCCATGCAGGGCCATGGTAGATGAACTCAGTATGTATATTTAAAAGCTTTTATGGTAGCATTGCAAAGGGTGGATTGGAAAAAGGTTGATCCTGAGGTGAGCAGGCTAAGTTTTGGGCAATTTAGCAAAGTGTGAGAGCATAAATTAAGCTTTTGGCGTCAAGTAAAGGGAACAGGGGTATACTGATTCTCAAAGGGTTCCTTTGTGTAACAGCTTTCTGTGTGCTTGATGAAAGGTATCAGCCCTATTTACATGTTAATTCAGGAGTCTCAGGAGACTTCCAAGTGTTTGTATTGGGCAGGGAGAAGAGAGTGACAGGGGACTTAATGGTACTTTCCTCCAAAACAGGAAATACCAAGGAGGAAGAACAAGTTTGAAAGGTTGGACTCAGAAAGAAGAAATTATCAGTCAAGTATTAGGTGTCTTTCAGGACAAGGGGTAAACTGTCAGGAATAGTTTATAACTTGATCTAAAAGCTTGGGAGAGAGGTGAGAGCAACATGTTCACATGTGGGAGCCATCTGCATAAAGATGATAGTGATGAGACCTTAGACACAAAAGTAGTTGTAGAGATCAGGTGTTTATGATAAGAGGACCAGTAACATAACCTAGGAGATGACTTACTTCTAAGTAACAGACAAGGGGAAACCAGAGAAGGAGCTATGAGATAAGTACCATGTGGGGTAAAAACCCAGAAGAAATGATGTTGAGGAAGCCACAAGAGGCAAGAGTTTCAAAGAAAAACTCATCAAACTGTCAGATGATCAGAGGGTATCCATGGGAGCACTCTAAGTCACCTATGATTGGGATGAGCAGATTCAGAAGAGTTGTGGGGAGGGAGCCACATTGTAGCAATTCAGTGAGGGCTAAACACAGCCAGTGGAGCAGAGTGTTGCTGGATTCTTTTCTAAAATGGATTGTTTGTAAGGGGCTGGAAAGGGTGATGGAGGCAGCAGAAGGTTCCCTTTTTTCTACTTGTTTATATTAAATATAGAAAGCTAGATTTTCAACTTGTCATATGACTTAGATTACCTCTTCAGTGTTTGCCATTTGTCACATTTAAAAATGCCTTTCCTAGTGATTATATTTTTTGGATGTATCCTACTTTGTCCAAGCTTCCAGTGGAGGCCCTGCTGCTCAAACTCCTAGTGTCTTCAAGTTCTGTGTAAACCAGCTGGGGCCTCTGCATCTGTGCCATGTCTCATTGGGTTTTAATAAGTCCTAGTTTTTAAGCCTCAGCAACTAATATTTGAAATTGAAACTAAATTTACAGAATATGACTTGTAACCTTGAAACTTGATCATTACCTAAAGAATTGGTCAAAAAGGATAAATGTTTCAATGTTGCAGTTTAGAGAATGTCTTTATTGTGCTGCCAATTGCTGAATGACAGAGAGCTTTAATTCTAACAAGCTTTAATTAGAAAGAGAAAAAAAGTCAAAGGGTGATGTCAGCCAGAAACAAAGTGAACCAGATCAAGAAATACTTTTATTGGTTACAGAACATCAATAATGTGTGGTATTGTCTTATTCATTTCCTTTACTAACAATGAAAATTCTTCAGGCCTCTCACTGGGATTCAGACTTGTTTTCTTGAACACAGAATCATTTTGATAAGTGTTTTTTGTTAGTAATATGATACTCTTTGGAGTTGGAGAAAGCAGTTTGTTTTTGAAGATACACTAAATTATTCTTGACTTTTTAAATGCTCTTAATAAAGGAAGAAGTAAGTAGACACTGCAGTGTCTCCACTGGTTTCTTGCTTGGCAGTGAATTGCTCTATTTTTAAGTGTATTTCTCTCAGCATAATTATTGTAAAGATGCTGACATCAAAAGAGTTAGTACTTTTTTTAGAGATCATTATGTTATAATAGAAAACAGCTATCCATGTAGGAGATTAAGTAGAACTATGTAAATATATGACTTTACTTCACAAAGAACCTGGTTATCTTTCTTTTAAAATGAGATTTTACCTTTCTCTAATATAAGATTTTACTCTGAAATTGTTGGTCCTTTCTTCTTTTTCTTTGCTTCCCAATGAAGTTCAATATTATTTATTTTGGACTTCTCTTCATTCTCCTGTGTAGAAGTTTTGGGCCATTCCTTCAATCATTCTTTCACCATTGTAGTCAACTCTCTTCTCCCTGGCTTTTCATTGAACCTAATTTGGATCTACCAAGGCTCAACCTAACCATTTCACAGCCTGCTACTATGCCTGGGCTGCTGGCCATACTAGCTAAAACTTGACAACCATGGCAACCAAAGTCTCTGTAAATTCATGGTCTCGAATTTGTTAGGCCCTCAAGATGCCTTAGCAATCCTCATGTGTTTCCGTAAGCAGATTTTTCCTTTGCAGCTATTCTTCTTTTCCACCCTATCTTTAACATTCCCCTGCCACCTGTTCCCTCAGTCTCAGAAGATGATCTCTACTCCTGTCTTATTGAGAACCTAAGCAGGAAATTGTAAATTTCTTTCTTTACCATCACTCCTGTTCCTACTGAACTTTTTTTGTTTTCTCAAACACACTACTTTCTGGCTATTTTTCTACTTTTTTCCCTCAGCTTTGTACCAGGTTTTTTTTAAAAAAGTAGTGTTCCCTTGCTTACCTTTCTACTCACTGGATTCCATCCAAAGTGCTCTGAACAAGCTTACAATGACCTAAGTATTAAAGCCTGTGAGATATTGTTTAGCCTTCACCTGATTTGGTCTTTTTATGTCATTTGGTCATTACTGAGCATTTTCTTCAGTTTTTATGAAAACCTCTCTCTTTTGGATTTTTTTTCCTACTTTAGACTCATATAAATTCAAACTTGCCATTTTCTTTAAATACCAGGAAAAAATAAGCATTTGACACTTTAAAAATAATCACTAATAAAGCTTATATCCAGTAATAATTATACTTTTAAGGATTATGTTATACTTTAATATTATATCAATTTTACTTTAAAAATATTTACTTCTTGAACTGCTTGACTGCAGTAATTATGTATCTGCAGGTTGAAATATGTTGTATACTTTAAATATATAAAGATTTAAGAAATACATAATGTGTTAATTAAACCTTGATTTCTTCTTTTCTAGCTAATGAAGGAGTTCCCCCTCCTAAGCATGTTCAACATCCATGAAAACCTTTTAGAAGCCCTCCTGGAACTACAAGCATATGCTGATGTTCAGGCAGTCTTAGCAAAGTATGATGGTAAGTCCTGGTATTTTTATATACTTGAGAACTCTTCTTGATATAGTACATAGATAAGATTGGACGGATCATTTCAAGTAGCAAAACACTTTGATAACTGTCCTCTCAAGGAATTTTCACTGACAGTTTGTGACGGTGTTTTATAGTCTTAGAAGTTCATGCCTAGCAGGACAGAAACATCGTGTGGCTTCTGCTCTGTTCCTCTCCTTTCTCCCCATCACTCAGGTACTTGTGTGCATTCTGCTTGATTCTCTGCATGGTCAGCAAGCACTCTTCAAGCAGCTCACACCTAGTTGGAAGAGCACCAACTCTTAGAGATCTTCCTATAATGCCACACTGGTTCACTGTGACTACTATGTGTCAGGCGTCTTGATCCTCTGGAGCAATGTAGGACAGCTAGTAGCCCTTGTATATGTGACAGCTCAGTAAATATTTGAGGAGAAAATCATGTTTCTTTCACAGCAGGTATTTTCCTCATTAGCAGAATATCCATGCTTCTCTACATGGTGGACTCCTCACCATTCTAGTTACTTACCCATGAACTATTAAATCAGAAAAACAAACTGGCACATCCTCAGAATTTAAAAAACTCTTTTGCTCATATCATTATTTTCCATGATCTCACAATCACAAAAATTATCTGCATAATTACCTGCCATAACTAGGATCTCTGCAGAACTTCATACTATTTTGCCTTATTTAAATAACTTTCTTCCTAAAGTAAATGTGTTTGCTTGTTAAGTAGATATTATGGAATGGTTATTTATATTATATAATCATTTGCCTTATAAAACATTCTTTAGTAAGCATCTTTAGGTCAGTTAAAGAATTATTCAGAGCTGGGCACAGTGACTTAAGCCTGTAATTCCAGCTTCTTGGGAGGCAGAGATGAGGAGGATCATGGTTTGAGGCCAGCCTAGGCAAAAAGTTCCCAGACCCTATCTCAACCATTGGCTGGACATAGTGGTGCATGCCTGCCAGCTATAGGGGGAAACACAAATAGGAGGATCATAGTCTAGGCTAGCCCAGTAAATTCAGACCCTATCCCAAAACTAATGCAAAAAGGGCTGTGGAGTGGCTCAAGTGGTAGAGTGACTTCTTAAAAAAGTATAAGGCCCTGAGTTCAATCCTTAGTACTGCAAAAAGAAAAAGGAAAAAAAAAAAGATTAATTCAGGGCTGGGGATTTAGCACTTGCCTGGCACGCACAAGGTCCTGGGTTAGATCCCTAGTACTGCAGTGGGGAAAAAAAGGATTATTCAGATCATAAATTTCTAGGAATTCACCAAATGTATAGAATAAATTATCTTTTAGGTCTAGTTTTTGACACAAAATTCTTAATGAGGAAATCTCTGAAATGGGTTGGGGCTGTTGCCCTACCGTTGAATGAACTGAAGTAATTATGAGACTCTTTTTATTTTGTTTCCTTAAATTCTTGCTCAAATTGGTGGAAATTCAAAGCCAGTGAAGGCATCATTTTGCTGTGCAGACATGAGTACCCTGTGTAACAAGATATATGCTACTTAATATGGAACTGGTTTTAGAAAGAGAGAAGAGTATTTGCGGAACACTTAAAAGTAAATAAAATGAAGACTGTTTGGCCTTCACATCAGCCCTCTTTTATTCTTTGTTTATATGCTAGAATCTCACCGTTCAGATGAACAGTGGTCTAAGTTTGTGGGTCTAAGCTATGAGACTTCCTTGTAAACAAAATGTTTATACATTGAGTTTCTTTTAGCACCAAAGGAGTCCATCCCATGCCCACAAGTTCAGGTGGCAACGAACTTTTCCAAATGCCACAGTAAGGTTCATGTCCGCGTGGCTCAGCCTGAAATATCAAGGCTTAAGAAATAATATTTAAAGAAAAAATGCTTATGAGGAAATAAAGAAATAAGGATTTGACCAATAGAGCCTTTGGGATCCCAAGTCTCCTAAGGCTCCTTTCATGAGGCTCTCAGCTCATTACAGAAATCATCAGCTTTGTGTTATAAAACTGATTGCAAAATAAAGAAATGAACTCATTTGGAGCTTTTCATTGTCTCTGTGTATCCCATTGCATGGCCTCTGTTCCACAACAATCAAAAGCTGATTTATTAGATTCTGATAACATATGTTCACATTGTTACAACAGCCCATCCCACCCTCCAGTTTATAAAACTTGGCACACACTTTGCAAAATTCCTTTGTTGTAAGTGGACAAACTGACCATATCAAGGCCTTTGTGTTGAGCTTTGTTTATGTTGTGTACCTGGCAACAGAGATGATGTTCTTGTTCATTATTCATGGAAAAAAGAGCTTCATTTGTGGCAGGGCACATACTTTGCTGAGATGCCTCGTAGGGGTTTGAGTTCAGCAGTTGTCGATAGAGTGCAGATGACCTAACTTCGACTGAATCCTGAAGGGAGTTTTGGTGCTGACTTGGCTCAGGCCTGTATCATTTACAGTAGAAATGTAATGAAGTGGCTGCTGAAGTTACTTTTCTTAAGGGGTGAACTGCAACTACTCAAGACTGTTGAAAAACATGTCTCTTGTTCTTCAGCTCATACCATAAAGTGGGCTCTTTCAAGTTTATCCCTGCTTTTTTCTGGAACACTTGGGGGACCTTGCCTAAGCTACTGGCCCCTTCCTTATCTGACCCTCTGCAGGAAGTGGGTGCTTTAAAGGGCCTGGAAGAGACCACTTCGAAGGGGCACCCTGTTCTTCACCCTGGTTCAAGTGTAATCATTCTTATCTGAGATGCTGGAGACAGCACTTTGAATTCCAGCCCCTCCAGCCCTCTCCATGGAGCCACACCCAAAGCAACAGGATTAAATGTTATCTTTGCAAATTGGAATGCTCTGGTTGGGTAGCTTTTTCTTGGATGGTTTACCAGTACAGCAGTCCTTCTTTATTACATTTTGTTAAGTGGCTGAATTTTTTACATAGTGTATTGGGAAGTGACATGATAGGATTACTGCTGCTCTTCTGATGTTTGCAAAAAGGACTTAGAAAAATGGCTAGGCAGAGGGTGGGAAAAAACATGCTTTGGGGTAAGGAGGAAGACAAAAGGTATTCTCTTTGCCTCATTATTCTTCTCTACCATTAAACACACACACACACACACACACACACACACACACACACATTTGGCTTTGAATTTGAAAATCCTGGACATTCCTGAACTCCTCTTACAGTGTAGCCCTTCGGAACCCTGGGTATGGTCTCTACTAGGATTACCAGTTAATTGGTCACATCTCCTTATAATCTGCAGTCTAATTTTGATTTTGCCCTTGAGATTTTTATTATTCCAGCTTCAGTCTGAAATGCTGCTTTGTTATCCTCAGGAGGTTCATATTCTTCTATTTCCAGTTTATAAACCAACATTACAGGGGTGAAATTTTTATCAAGGTGCTTGGTCCAGGTTCTACAGTGTCTTTTACACAATGATTATAGTGACAGCAGCAGCTAGCATTTATTGGGTTCTTATAATGTGTCAGTGTCAGACATGATTTTGAGCTTCCATGGACGTACTCATTTATCCTCACCATAAGCACATTTGGTAGATACTATTGTTGGCCCCGTTTTACTGCTGCATTGTGACTTGGAAGTTTGCTCACAGGAAGCACCTAAGATGTGAAAGGAAAGCTATGGAAATGTTAAAAGAGAGATCAATTGAGAACAATCATTGTTAAACATGATGTGGATTTATGAGGAAAGGGAAGTCAAGGATGAAAACCAAAGTGGTCCCATCTAGGCCCATGCTTTTAACCATCACACACTCTGCTATTGGCAGTATTTTGCGATTTTTGAAATTTATACCATTATTCTTGTTATCATTAGCTACAGTTTATTGAGAACCTACCATATGCCAGCACATTATACAAATTTGTTACATCCTCACAGTAACCTTGTAAGGAGGTAGTTATTCCAGTTTAGCAGATGTAGAAACTGAGGTTTTCTGAGTTTTAAGTAACTTACAGGACCACACATTCCTAAATAACTGCAAAGCTGGGATCAAACACAGGTATAGCTGGCTGTAAAGCCCATGTGTTTTCCATAAACCTATGCCTTGCTAAAGTGACGTGGTCTGCACTTTCACTCTTACAAAGGCATCAGTTAGGTGGGCAGTGGTGCAGAATTTTGGTGGTGCCAGAGTGTCTTTTAAGATTCCTTTCTAATCATTCTTTAAGAAATTAGTATATCTGTATTTGCTTGTCTTTCTGAAGATGTCTTCAAAATATAACTTTGTATATTCAATCAACTTCTACTTGATTTGTTTAGTCACAAAGGGGCTTTGCTGTATAGTATTCATTTAATTTGAGATTTATCATCCTTTTTTTTTCCAGTCCTACATTTACTATAAAGACAGCAGTATTTTCAAGATCATGAAGTCATCAGGACCTTCTTGTAGAAGCCATTGTGAAGCTTGTTACAGCTTTGGATTGCCTCTCAAAGAGGTTTATAGGCCACCTAGGTTGAAAACTTCAGTCTCAAAGATTAGGGTGGTAGTGTGGGAAAGAAATCATGCATTTCTTATGAACATCAGTGCATTTCAATTTTGGAAGCATCTTCCAGCACAAGTGAATATAAATGTGATGGCTGCCCAGTACATTTGGGGGCTTTTAGTTCTGCCTGTCTCTAGTTAATGATCCCTGGGGATTCCAAAAAGCAGTCATGGCCCTTGGTGTGGAGGTGGTCCTAGCTGAGTGAACTCAAATTACTTAACCTTCTAAGCCTTAGTTTCTTTCTCTGGAAATGGAATCAAGGGTTAGAAAGGCTGAGTAACTTGCTGAAGATAACACAGCTGGTAATTTGTTGTGACGACTAAAGTAGTTTAATACATGTTAAATATTTAGAACTGTGTGGGACAGAGTAAGAGTTGAGAAACTATTAGCTGTTCTAAAGAGCCGAGGTTGCTACTTCCAAATTTCACTGTCCTTGGTCAATCTTGTTCAAATAGGAAATCATATATAAAATGTCAGTTGAGATGTGAGAACAAGAGCTCAGTCTTATGTCTCCCAAA